TGTATTTGCAATCGAATCAAATAATTTAAACCTTTGTTTCTTTCTATATATGCAGCAGCTTCCAGTGAGGAGCCCCAAATACACTGCCTTTCGCTCATCAACATCTTTGTTCTGCGTTCTTCAGGTCGAGTTGCCTGACTTCTAATTCTTCACTCCCTCTCCCTTTCAAACTCTTTATCTTAATTTCCACTGTAAACACTCTCCTTTTGTTTTTCTTTCAGATATATACATTTTCTTCCTTGTTAAATCTTCATCTTAATTTCCACTATAAACACTCTCCTTTTGTTTTTCTTTCAGATATATACATTTTCTTCCTTGTTAAATCTTCTTGTTCCCTTAAAAAAAAAAAAAAAGAAGGAAAAAAAAGAAGGGAGAAAAAAGGAAAAAAGGAAAAAAAAGAAAGAAAGAAAGAAAAAAGAAAGTACTGTTGTTCAAACGCATCTCCTCCCGCATTCAGTTCTAAGTTAGTGTTCAGAAGTAAAGCTCAAGCTACAAGCTAAGGTATGTCTATAATTAATTTTAATTATATTAATTTCTATTTTTGTTTATTTACTTTAGCATAATAGCTCAGAGCTGCAAAATTCTCGTGAATATATATTTTTGTTTAATTTTTAATGATAGTGCATTTTTTTATGGTTACGAAATTTATTTTAAAATAAAAATATTACAAGCAAATCTTGATGATAAGAACAAGAAACTAAACCTTTATCACAAATAAGAGAACATTTTGCCCATAGTAAATATATATGAACAATTAGTTTTATAAAAGATGTTGAGTATTACTTAGAGATTGCTAATGCAATTGTCATTATTGGGGCAAAATAGAGTTATGAAAATAGAAAACATCACCATATGGAGTTGTTCTAAGCAAATAGTTTAAGCTATTCATGGCAATCACATTAGCTACGCCAACTTTAGGATAGAGTGAAAAGTGACCAGATAACAAAACCCATTTGAGGGCCTGTGTAGTGTAACATTTAAAATTTAATAAATAACAGGTAGTGGTAGTAGGTGGCAATAATCAGATAGTAATTGATTGATAGTGAAAAATAAGTAACAGATAATAAATAGTAAATTTTAATTAATACAATTATTTAATTATATAATAGTTAGTTGTTATTGTTTAACATTAAATG